AATATACCGTCTGTACTAATTACCTAAACCTAGGTCTGGCTAATGGTAAAATTTCATCACAAAGCTCCCTATTTTGTTAACATGAATTTTGGAGAATATTTGTTCAAGTATAGTTGATCACATTTGTGTATAAATATGGCATTGGAATTTAGTGATTGGTTATTGAGCACGCTTCACGTATAAAAACCTCAGGTTGGTCACTTTCCTCCTTCCCTTCCCTTTCAAAAGGATCACACCTAAAATCCGGGCAAGTTATAATTGATCAAATTGGTTATAAGTTGGTTTACCTTGTGTGATTGGATAATGTTGCAATCAGAGTGGGCCCATTGGCATCATACGTGGGTGCTTTTAATACTAATATTTTGAAAGTTTGGCATGGGGAAGGGGAATTAAAATCATTTTTAGATCTCTATATTCGGAGTCAACGATCCTATAAATTCGGACTATTCATTTTAAATTATGTTAGCTCTCATTAGTAGATTTTATTGGCTCACTGTAAGCTAAAGGTCTGGATCTCTCTTTAACTTTCTTCAACAGCCTGAATTTACGAATTCTTGAGTTCCACAAAGATCTCGACTCAAATAAGGCTTCTGGTGGTATTTAAGCCACGATGGACATAGAGAAGACAAGGTCCCTGTGGCATGTGATCCAACATTAGCTGAACACTTGGAGTTCTATTTGGATTTGAATTACAAACTAGGGCAATTATTGTCACTTATATGTCGACTCAAATCAAAAGTTAATAGAATCAAGAAGAAAACGTTGATTTATTTGATAAGAAACCATATCCGTGAATGAATAGGCTAAGGTTTATTAGTTTGCTCGAAATGGATGGGTGACGGTGGTGGCCGATGGCCAGGCGATGAGGAGCAGATGGATGGCTGATGGGATCGTGCCAACATTATAAAATAATGTGGTAAAAATATGAAATGACAGAATTTATAAAAAGTCTTGCTTTTGAAAGAGTTCCCTTACCATTTATGTTCTTGATAACCTTCTTGAGCCACATGCACATTTTGCGATACAATATCAACGTGAGGAGAAATTAAGACTGTTCACTTATAAGTAAAGTAGAATATTATTAACTCTTAATACTAGTGCCCTCACACAAATTAATCGAAAAGAAAATGATGACATGCTCATCGAATAGAATTTATGAACTTCTCATTTGGGATTGGGCCGAACTTTTTGCTAATTATACATGAAAGCCCGTTGGATGAAGATACATAGGCCTTGTTTGTCCAGACTCAGTAATTAACCTGGGTCGAAAAACAAAGTGTAGTATTATATAGGTTGGGTCGGGCCCAAACCTTGGTTTCGTGATTGCCTTCGTTTTTTTACCCACAACTATGAAATCTCAAGTATGTTCTCCACACGTTGCCCTATTAATCAAAGCGAGTAATTTTTAGGGGTGTGCTTTCCACACACCCTTTTTTACTTCTCCCACACTCCTTGTTAATTTCTATCCGTTGATCTTCTTCAATTCATCTGATCCAACGGCTGAAAATTAAAAGGATGTGAGAGAAGTAAAAAGGGATGTGTGGATATCACATCCCAATTTTTATTATATGTAATACAACGATATAATTAAAGGGGGTCCCTAGCTTCAAAAAATAGTGAGATGTAGATCAAATGACGAAATAGATTGAAGATCAAATCGAAAGACACAAATAGGACAACAAAAATGAAATTTTGCTGATTTGGGCTTCAACTTCGGATTTGGGCTTATGACCCGCCATTCTGAAGAAAACGGCCACACACATCAAGATCATCATTATGTTGTGATGTGGGCTTTTATCCCCCAAATTTCATATTTTACAGTGTTTTATTAGAGTTCTAAGTTTTAAACACGTTTTTGATATTTTATTCCTATTTGGAATCGCCTCCTACTCAAAACTCTTAATGTTCGAATCATAGAGTTTTGTGCTTATAATCAAAACCGTTCATATAATTGACCTCTGTAAAGATTATATATGCACACAAAAAAAAAAGAAAAAATGAAGTAAAACTAAGGTTGTTTAGTCAACTATTGTAGTAAATACATAGACGGCTCATAATACTTCTACGAAGTCCGTTCATCTGTTTTTATACAATTAGATATCTAAATGACCGTAGTTTTAATTGATTTTTTTCAAAGAATTTTTTTATAGAGTAATTTATAATATGAAATGTTCTGATCATAAACATGAAGTTCTTATGAATCGGTAACGAACAATTTTGAGTTCAAACTCCTATTCATATTCCAGTATAGATAAGATGAATCATGCTTTAGGTTTGTTATCTTATCAATCAATCAATAAACCTTGATGTATTTTCATTTATGACGGATTCTAGTTTTCTTGTTATTTACAATTATTGTTGAATAGTCGTTCGTTTGTCACATTGTCAGTGTGGTAGGTTTTGAAAATGTATGTGTTAATATTTGACCCGTATTCGAAAGCTTAGAAATCAATTTGTACCTAAACTTGACAAATATAGAGAAAATAAGATGCTTAATTATCCTAAGTTTACGTTGTAAAATCATATAAGTTCAAAATTTTGTGTGGACAATGCCCTAAAACAAAAAGAGCATTCGATTTAGACCTGCAAAGAAAGTGATGGTGTACTCTCAAACCTAATATTTATTTCCGTTAATTTAAAAAGTAATCCTAATTAAGGTCCACATTTTTTTCAACCATAAGGTCATCTCCAATCAAAGGGTCTAGAGTACAAAAAATAGCCCGAAAACCGTCTCCAATTGAGAGCTAGGCCAGAGGTCTCGTGGGCCCTACGAAATCTAAAAGGGCCAAAGGGCTAGAAGGCTAGCCCAATCCAGCCAGCCAGCTAGCCCCAAGCTGGGCCAGAAATTCTAGCATTCCTGTCGGATATAACCGACAGGAATATATTTTTCTTGGCCAAATTTCAAATGCAACGGCTAGCTGACGTCAGCTATCCATTATTTTTTATGTTTTATTTTTATTTTATTTTTACACAACTTTTTTCCTATAACTTCTATTTTTTTTCTATAACTTCCTATAACTTCTATTTTACAAAATTTGAATTTAATTTAAGTTGTTGTTTTTAAATAATAAATTATGTTGTAGTTTTTTTACAGTACTTAGCCATTGGATTTGAATTTGAATTTAAGTTGTGGTTTTTAAATAATAAATTATGTTTGGCCCTCAGTTGGAAACGGTTTTTTGTGACAGGGCTAGAACGAGCCTTATGACCCTTTGGCCCTCAGTTGGAGATAGAGGCAAATATGGTCATGTGTTGTTCATTAAAATATTAATATCTTTGAGGAACAGAGGGCTAAAACAAGCTTTCTGACTAGCCTTCGGTTGGAGATGGCCTAATGTGCAGCTTCCCAGACCTCAGGATGATCAATGATCGTCATCCGACAAGAACAAAAACCCATGAAATATTTCAGAAGCTAGAGGAAATAGGAACAAAACATTTCCACATTGGAAAGCGAAGTAAAACCTAACAAGGACGACAACTGCTGCACTACAGGGATCAGAAGGTGAACGATGTGTATATATATAGCTTTGTGATGCTTTCATTCATCAAATTTGTGTCCCTAGGCCTTTTTATTGGTTGAATTTATACATATAAAACCAAAGAAATTAACAAATAAAACATAAACATGCAAAACGAATGGTGGTTTTTATAGCGATATTATCAAGAACGGGTGACATATCATTTTTGGTAGTGATTTGGTTGTTTTAAGTAGGTGTGGAAAATCCAATCAGTTGTGTACCTAGTTCTGTATAATTTTATCATAATATTGGTGTCAAAGGAGCGATGTAACAAGCTATAACATCTAAGTACTTGAATTAGGACAATGAATCTTTAGAATTTAAATCGAGTAGAGTACCCACAAATGATCTTGTAGCGTGTTTGGAAATCTATATGTAAATTCATTAAGTAACCGGAAATGTTATGTTATTACTATTTATATTGTCAAACTATAAATTTGAACCATTAATCTAATAGTGTAAGTAAATTGTGTTTGTGGCTAAGAAAGCTTTCGAAACTAGGCTGCAAATGTATGCACACGCATGCATGCATTATGAAATATCAGGAGTAATAGTACATGTTGGAGGTAAAACTGTTGAAATACATATAGAAAACGTAAGGTTAGCTGTGAACTAATTGCAGTTTAAATAGGTGAATATCTGACCTCAAACAATAAATAGTAAAAATGATGGAAATGTGACACATTAAATTTACAGGAAGAAGCGAAAAATCAATATTATTACATATAAATAAATAATTTACCCTCGAGTCTCTGCCAAGATGCATGAAGGACTCAAGACAATCAAATTTACAATGAGAGGAACGAAGACGAGATATTTTTTCTCCTCTAGCTAGGGTTTTGCATACATGCAACTTGGCGAGACTGGTCCTAGTATACATCTGAGTAGCAGTAGTGGTGGTACATTAGGTCTTTTTCTTCCTTTTTGCATCTGAGTACGTCCGGTAGTAGTACCAGAAAGACTCATCTACTTATCTACACTCCGTACACCACCCTGACAACCATGTTCTTACACGAAGTGGTATTATTAGTCCAAGATGTTACAATTGTGTGCCAGAATGCAGGAAAGTCTCTCTCCGAGTACCGGACAATAAAGCCAATAGGAAGTTCTACTACTACAAGCCGTTAATAAGCTCTCCTATCCCTGGTGCAGTAGAAACAATGGAGTTTTGATTTGATTCCAATTCCTATTCCATTGAGTTTTAAATGAGATTAGTTTGGTAGCGGTGGGCTGTGATTGGTAGTCCTTTTTGGAAATCGACAAAAGGGAAAGCAAGAGGTTGGTCGAAAGGATCGGCTAAGTCCCAGTGGAAGTTGAGGACAAGGTGGTGGATGAAAACGGCCATTTCAAGTTTGGCTAGTTCTGAACCGGCGCAAAGTCGTGGTCCTCCCCCAAATGGCATAAAGTTGTTACTTGTCATGCTCGTGTAACATGATGCTGATGATGATCCACGGTGGTGGTGGTTGTTATTCTGCTGCATAATCATTAACAATAAACACAGAATTAATCACATGTTTAGACTTCCAATCGAGCAAAATTTATTGGTTTTTGTTTAAGCTAATTGGATCCATATGGGAGGAAAGTCTAGGATTAGGTTGTCCGACACAACAACACACTCGCACTGAGCAGGACTCCTTGCATTTAGGCTCACCTAGTCCCACTTCTCGAGTGTGTCGTTGCATGAGACACCTCACACTAAACTCTCATTTTGCATGAGTTATTTTTTGTATCGCATTTGTTGATCACATCTTTAAAAAAGGTGAGAATGGTCAATAATTGTGTCTCACATCCAGTGGTGGATTCACCAAGGAGCAAAAGGGTTCATTTTATCCAGGCTTGATTTCTTCCCATTAAATTCTTAAGAGTTAACTCCAACATGTTTGAATTTGCCCGTTCTTTACAATGCGATCTATAAATGTAGTATATTTAGCACATCTAGATCTTGGTTAGGCTTCTAGGTTAGTTTGCATTGTCACAAAGAGTGACTATTCCACCATAATCATTGCAAATTTCGTGTAAGTTCATGGTGTACTCTCTCTGTTCCTTTTTTATTTGGGATTTTCTGGACCAGCTGTTTGGGATTCATCTCCTTTGGTTAATAAAGAAGAAGAAATTGGTCTGGACCAGTTAGGCATTTGACCCACTAGAGAGCAAAAGCACTTGTGCACACGTGCATGGCACCATGATAGAACCCCACTTCCACATGGTGCCTCTAAATTCTAATCATCTCCCAACCCTAAAGTCTCTCCCCACACGCACACTAGGGCAACAAAGCAAAGAAAAGCAAAGAGAGTTGGACCTAATGTAGTGTCCGTGCACGGTATGCAGCTACCAATCCTTTCAATTCGATGATCTAGACACTGCATTTTGAATGGGAAATCTCTAAGATCTCTCATCATGCATTTGCAACTATCTTGTTATTATGCCTTAGCTATTGGGATTCGAGGAGGCGTCAACAGCGAATCAAAGTGCGGACTAGGTTAAATCAATATCCAAGGGTACATTTCGTATTCATAGCATGTCAAACGAAATATGATATGTATCTAGTGAAAGAGATAAGACGTATGATTGTAATGCTGGTATTGATTCATAAATATCTAAGCGTGGGATTAGAAAGGAGTTAAAATTTTTGGATCTCTTTGTTAAAGAGTGGGTTCATACTAAAACAACCAATGGCCGGAGAGATTTTTCCGTGTGCCGAGAACATACCTTGGTACAACAAGTATCATAATGCATATGGTTGAAATTTTTTTTTTCAACTATTTAACCACTTGTATTATAACATTTGATGTCCCGAGCTATGTTTCTAACACTGAAAAATTTCTCCAACGGCCAGTGGGAGCCACAAGAACAACCAAAAAATAATGTAAAATAATAATTATGAGGCATGCTGGAGCTGTACAAAGGCCAAAGGTATTGACTGACCTGCCATCTCCATGGATTGAAGTGTTGAGGGTGGTCAAAAAGTAAAGGATCCAAATGCACGGCTGCAATCACCGGAAGCACTTTCCACCCACATGGAATGTCATACCCTTTCCAAGTTCCAAACGACAAACCAAAAAATAATTAAGAACTCAATTCTGAATGAGAAAATACTCTTTCCAAACTTATTTCATCAAGAAAATTTGAGCAGGACAGTCTAATCAACTAGATTCTCAAACAACACTCGCAGAGAAATAGGGTTTGCTGCATTTGAGCACCATCTAACGTAAGTAGAGGTCCCAATGCAACGATTCTTTCCTCTGTGAGAGGCCCGATCACTGGGCTAGTCTGGCCATAATGACCTACTAAATGTTATCTTCTTACAAAGACAATTCTTTTTATTTAACTATTAATTAAAGTTTGACACACGTGTATAAATTTACTTATTTTCTCAAAGTATAAAACTCTTTTTAAAATTTTTAATGTATTATTTTTGTGTACTTGTAAAATTGAAATTTCGAAGTAAATAGAGGAATGGCAGAAGCAGCTTCAGATTTGAGATGACTTTTTGGCTACAACTCCCCAACTCTTACACCAAATTATCCTGAAGACTCACCTTTGTACCGAACATCCTTCAGAGCCTTTCTGTGTAAAAATCTCACCACATTCCCAAGCCGAAGCGTCTCACTGATAACCTTCACAAAAAGATGAAAATTTCAAATCCTGAAACAATTCACTTTTTACTGCATAAAGTTAAAAATATTAACCCATGATTAAATACTTGGAAAGGGATCCGCTCCGGATCCCTTCCACCAAATCCCCTAATTCGAGCTTTAAAATTTGATCAAACGGCTTAAAACAGAGATCCCCTTTAGAAGTTAGAATAACTTAGCCGTTGAAACAAATTTCAAATGCCCGGATTGGTGGATTTGGTAGAAGGGATCCGGAGAGGATCCTTTCCTACATACTTACACATTGAGTGAACTCCATTTTCTTGTAATCCTCCCAATCCAACTCTGTCTTCCCTGCTAGTTTCTTGGCTTTGGCAATTTCACTGTGTTCTTCCTGCAGAACAAATCAAACCCATAAAATAAAATAATCAAATCCCAAAAGGAGATGGATTAAAATTAATATTTTTTTACTTACCCTTAATTGCAGAATTGCATTAGGGCAGCTTGGTAAAAAGTAAATTGCTAAAGCTATGGAGACTGATGAAGTTTCATGGCCAGCAAAGAGCAAGCTCAATATTAAGTCAAGGATTTGCTCCTTTGAAAGATTTGAATTCTTCAAAACCCATCCAAGCAGATCATCTTCCCCAATGTTTTCGGTTCCCTCCATTAATCTTTCTTTCATTTTGCACTCTATAAACTTCAGAATTGTTGATCTTGACTGAAAAAGTCAATAGAAATGGCATTAAAACAGTAAAAAGTTAAATTCAGATGAACACCCATGTTGAAAAACGTTGTTTATTTACCTGTAAGGCTCTTCTGTAAGCTGTTCCTGGTAAATTCACAGGAGGGGAAACCACACCTTTCATGAAAGTAACATACAGTTTCTTGAGCTGCTCAGTCTCTGGCTTTCCAGGTTCCAAGCTCATGATATGTTTGGCCATCAAGTTGAATGTGAACTGCAGTCACTTTTTCAAAAAGCCCAATTGAGCTGTGTTTTACTTTTCCTTAATTCACAAGCACTCATTCACATAAATGTTAATCGGTAGTGATTTTCACTCTCGTTTCGCCTTCTGCACTCCTCCCCTTATTTCTGTCTCGAGATTCTCCTTTGATTTATTCAATCCGAATGCCATAAACAAAGAGAGGAGTGCAGAGAAGGCAAAAGCGGACTGCGAAAATCGCTTTCCGCGTTAATTACCTTCTTAGCTTCATCCTGAGCTGAAAAAACAGAGTTCTCCTTCCAACTCCCCAAAACAAGAAGAGTGTGCTTTTCTACTTCTCTCATCAGATGGGTCCTGAGCCTGGCATGGCTCAAGAAATTGAGAGATATCATCCTCATGTCTCTGTGCATGTCACCGACCAAAACCAGCATGGACCATTTCCCAAGAATCCCTCCTATGCTTCTTGGGTAGCTGCATTCAAACAATCTCCCTTCATTCTGCAGTATGAATCTGTTGAGCCCTGCATCTGCTGACACAATTGTTGACTCCCCAAATAAATTTGACTTGTAAATTTTCCCATACCTGCATAAATTTTAAGTGAAAGTTCCAGCCTTCATAAAAACGTAGCAAAGTTGGCTAGAACAGTGTGCTTCATACAAGTTCGAATATCGCTCGAATAAAAAATCTAAAACATGGGTTTTGAAATTCGAGGATTTTTGCTATCTGGGTATCTTGTGATTTTTTACCTTGAGATATGCTGCTCCATGAATTTGCCAATGGAGATTGCAGAGTAGGGCTTCAAGTAGCCAATGGTTTCACCAAGAAAAGGCCAACCCATGTTTCCTGGCGGGAGATTGAGTCTGGTTTTCTGGTGCTGTTTCCTTCTGAGGAGAATGAGGAAGAGGAAGAGAGCAAGGATTGATGGAAGAAGACAGAGAATTATCTCTGAGTCAGCCATGGAGGCTGCTGCTGCCTTCTAACTTTTCTTTCTTCTGTTTTTCTGTGGGAGTTTTTGCTTAAGCCGTTAATGCAAAAACGAAATCAGATATCTGCCTTTTTAAAGCTATGCAGCTGTTGAAAAGCAGCTTCTGAGCTTATTTTTAAGCAAAAGGAGGTTTTATGATAACCAAAAACTCAATGCAAGGCTTTTGCTCCCAGTAGGTAGCTTTTTATAAGCTTCTTCATTTGATCTTTTGGGCTAAAACAGCGGATAATAGTAATCTGAGTTTTATTACGGTAATGTTAGAAATATCAAATTTTTTTAAGCTTATTATATTAACTTTTCACAAATTGTTGAATAAACTTTACATATTTAATACATTTCATATTTGTTTTTTCACTTAAAAATTATCTTAATACACTCCACATAATTTTTTATAAAACCCCCACACCCCACAATTTCAATATACACCTTATATTTTGTACATACACCCCACATTTTATGTACACTCCATATTTCTCAAATCTTATAACACTCATTTTTAATTTTTAGGAACTGAATCAACCATTTGAACATTTAGTTTGCCAAAAGATTTTAAATCATCTGAACGTTTAGTTTGCTGAATGATTTCAAAATGATGATTTGAAATCATCTTAGTATAGTTTGCATCGACAGATGTCCACCTTCGTTAAGTAGGGAAAAATCATCAATGGCTTCATTGCTAGGTTTAACTTTGTGGTACGCAATTTTTATTTTGACTTTCATGAACTTCATTTATGTAGTGCGGAGCACTTGGAAAACATTGGTATCCATTACTTCCAAACAAAGAAATTAGAGAAAAAAATTCTTGGATGGACAAAGGTAAGGAGATTTCATCTAAACTCTCATTGGTATCCTTCCCCAAACAATTTGACTATAAATGGTGATTATAGATTATGAAGTCTTACCTCATGTGAAACTCCTAAACATCGATTTCGTGTTCCATTCGTCAAAAACAATTTTTCTCAATCAACATGCTTGTAGTTTCATTGGTTAGGGTTTTGTTCAATAATGGAGGTGGAAGGGTTTTGATAGTTGAGAAGATAAACAATACGCTAAAAATGAAATGGGGTGTATTTAGATATTTTTTTTATTGAATAGGTTATGCCATCGACCCATGACATCGTATCTCCTGTTCCAATATATGATTTGAGATTTTAGTAATACTACACTTATTATATTTTTATATTACATAGGTATTATCTCTCTAATAAAAGTAAAACTCACTGACACATGTGAGTTTATCTCTATTAAAGAGTTGATACAATTGTTGTAAGGGTAACATTTTTGTTGAGATTTTGTTCTTGCATAATATGTCACATCGCAATCCGGGCTTGACTTCACCGTAGCACAATATTGTCCAATTTGGGCCTTGACCACGCCCTCACGGTTTTGTTTCTAAGAACTCGCACAAGAACTTCCCAGTGGGTCACCCAACCTGGGATTACTCTCGCGTGAACTCGCTTAACTTCGCAGTTCCTACGAAACCCGAAGCCAGTGAGCTCCCAAAAGGCCTCGTGCTAGGTAAAGATGGGAATATACATATAAGGTTTATAGGATCCACTCCCCTGAACAATGTGAGATGTTACATAATATCCACAAAACACGAAGTTTAATGATTTTATTGATCTATATAAAATTATAATTTCCGATAAGCTTTGATGAGTGCTTTTCAATTGTAAGTATATTTTTTTCATAATCAAGTTTTTCAATTGAGCTTTGTTAAAAAAAAAAAAAAAAAAACAATGTAAGATGTTACATAATATCCACAAAACACGAAGTTTAATGATTTTATTGATCTATATAAAATTATAATTTCCGATAAGCTTTAACGAGTGCTTTTCAATTGTAAGTATATTTTTTTCATAATCAAGTTTTTCAATTGAGCTTTGTTAAAAAAGAAAAAAAAAATCTTTTCAATTGAGCTAGAAATCCAAAAGAATCAAAATCTACATTATGATATATGTTTGATGGATTTCTAATAGTAATGACATGGTGGTACATTTACTTTAAAATTAAAGTCCTTGTCAATAGTTAGGAGGTGTTTTTTTTTCTTTCTATACTACGTAGTATTGAAAGATACAAAAAATAAATTATGTGTCATTAAAATTTTAAATTAAATTTGTAAATGTTATGTTATTAATAAGAAACAAGCACGTTACTCGACATATAATTAATAATTTAATCATCGACAACCATATCATTTGGTTTACAAATTTGATTTAAAGAATTAAGTAATGCTAATGAGACTAAATTTTTTAAACCAAATGATGTATCACCAATAATAAATAAGTACGTTAATCGATACTTATTTAATAATCCAATTATCTACAGCTACATTATTTAGTTTGTAAATTTGGTTTAACAAATTTAATCTCTCTAAGATTACATTTTGGGTTACTTTCCTCTCTATATTATTAATAAATAAAAGATTTGGTTACATCATTAGCAGCTTTTCAATTAGCCCTAGATTCAAATGCAGTTTTTGCAGAACTTTTGAGTTGTTCATATGTGCTAATCAGATGATCAAGGATTTGTGCTATTGAAATTTGATTTAACAGTTAAATTTATTATAACTTTTAAAGTGAGTTCATGTTTGTAGCTATTGGATTAAATTTTAACTGCACATATTTCTTAATTTGATAGATTAGAAGGAAGAGATTTGAAGAGGTTCTCTTTCCAGACGGAGTTACAAGTTATCATAATAGCATGTATAATTAGCCAGTAACATAACGAGTTGTATCAGATAAAACATACAGCTTTTCTCTTTTCTCTTTTTTATTTTTTTATTTTTTATGGACTGGTGCATTATAATCAAAAGGTCAAATAAACAATTTAAATAAATCTTCTATATTCGGCCCCAACACGTAAGCATACAGATGTGGGCTTTTAAAAAATAAAAAAAAAGAAGTGAACTGTTAATTTATTTTTTAAAATTATTATTTGAGTAAAAATTAAGTTTTTAAATTATTTTTTTGGTAAAATAAATTCTTATAAAAACTGCTAATTTCATCTTTGAGATTACATTAAAAGTTATTTTATCCAATTCTCATCAACTTAAGTCACGTGACACATTTAAGAGGATAATGTTGTCATTTTTTTGACTAGGCCCCAACGTTGTATATAGATTGCGAGTTTGACGTCTAATTTACCATCCAAAATTAATTCATACATTAGCCAGTAACATAACAAGTTGTATCAGATAAAACATACAGCTTTTCTCTTTTCTCTTTTTAATTTTTTTATTTTTTTATTTTTTATGGACTGGTGCATTATAATCAAAAGGTCAAATAAACAATATAAATAAATCTTCTATATTCGGCCCCAACACGTAAGCATACAGATGTGGGCTTTTTTAAAAAAAAAAAGAAAAAAAAAAGAAAGAGTGAACTGTTAATTTATTTTTTTAAATTATTACTTGAGTAAAAATTAAGTTTTTAAATTATTTTTTTGGTAAAATAAATTCTTATAAAAACTGCTAATTTCATCTCTGAGATTACATTAAAAGTTATTTTATCCAATTTTCATCAACTTAAGTCACGTGACACATTTAAGAGGATAATGTTGTCATTTTTTTGCCTAGGCCCCAACGTTGTATATAGATTGCGAGTTTGACGTCTAATTTACCATCCAAAATTAATTCATACACTATTTCTTCAAAAAAAAATGACCTTAAACCATGAAAAACTATCAATCTACCCTCTAAAGTGTATCATATGCAAGTCACATGATTTAAATTGACGAAAAATTGAATAAAATAGTTTCAAATCTAGAAAGTAATTGGCAACTTTTATTACTTTAAGAACCGATTTTTCCGAAAAAATAGTTTAGGGACCTAATTTTCACTCAGGTAATAATTTAGGGACTAAAATCGGCATCTTACCTTTTTTTATAATTATTATTATTATAGGATGAAGGAGGGTTTAAAATTAGGGGAAACTTGATATAAGTTCAATTTTTTGAGCCAATGGTAGGAATGATCCAGTTTATTAAAATAGGTCCAATTTGTTATATTTAATTATTTAATTATCAATAATTACATGTTCAATGATAAGATTTATTATAAAAATCAAATGTCTTCACAATTATCTCTTTGCTTATTTCATTTTATTTATCTTTTTGTTATTTCTTGTTCTTCCTCCTGCTTTAAACCCTATTTATAGATTTTATTTTTAATTTGTATAATCAACCTATATCACAGGTTAATTATATTTATCTACCTATATGACATATTCTTTTTTATAATCAACATGTCACAGATTAATGTGTCTTGCTTGTAGGTATGTTATGTTTTTTATACCTTTTAATTAGGTTTCATATCTCACGCATAGGTATTATATACATTCATATATTTGTTACTTGAGTTAGGGTAGAATGTTTTGCAGATAAATTTATGTTAGTATATTAGTTTTTTTTGTTATAAGATATTAAATATATTTTTTTGGAGTTGGAAAATGCATAATATTAGAAGATTTTAATTGATTTTTAACATTTTTAGGAAATATAAAATTAGTATAAAAGAAATAAAAGCATATAATTAGATAACTTGATTCATTCCTAAAAACACTCTACGTTTTTGGACCTGGATCTAAAATCCCCTTAAAATTATTACAATAATTTGGATACAGAGTTTTGCACCTCTAACGCGTGGGTATAAAACCACCGTATCCGATAGGATATTGGACGACATGGAGCATACAAATATGGTCTGATCATTTGTTTCGGTATTATGAAAGATTGGAAGTTTGAACTTGAGCATCTCAAATGCAAGATTAATATTTTTACACATGTATTCATGTATTGAAATGTAAAAAAATTACATGTGTTATGTACTCTATCTTGGACTTAATTTTCGTATTGAAACACAAATTGAAGTATTATTTTTGGCTGGAAACTCGATTATGAGTTTAACTAAGATGTTTGGAGATGTTTTCCCTTATATTTAGACGCAAATGAACACCAAAGACAATTATAAGTTATTTTTTTCATTTTCAAGTTTTGCCTCGTCCTCACCTTTTTATCTCTTCCTCATCTCTCTCACCGTTCTTCATCTCTATTATCCTTCATTGATTCTCTCTCTATTTATATCTAAAAAAAGGATAATTTTCTATAAATAAAAACAGAAGGGTTTTCCACACCAATAATTTTCTATATATTACTACTTCGGTCATCCATTCCATCTTAA